CTACTTGGCCTGAAGGCTCCTCGCTGTCTGCGGATGTCATCGGCCCATCACCATCACTATCAGCATCCGACGCCTCTCCATCTGCACCTTGGCCAGCTCCCTGAACAGTGGGCTCATCTAATGCCGTGGTTGACAGCTCGTCACCATAAGCTTGAGATGCATCTGTGGTCGACAACTCATTACCATCACCTTCCAGCATATCCGTAGTCGACAGCTCGCCGCCATCATTGCCCGGCACGTCTCCATCCAGTGTGGTCGACAACTCATTGCCATCACCGTCTGATGCATCTCCATCCCCGCCTTGAAAAGCCCCCTGCCCCGCAGTCTGCTGGCCGCCCCCATCTCGGGGGCTCTGGTCTGAGTCTGGGGACTGCAGGTTTGCCGCTGCAGTTGACGGCTCTTCACCTGGGCCGTCCAATGCACCCCTATCCCCATCAGGATCGTTTTGGTTACCAGTTGGAACAGCACCCTGGCCGTCCGTGTCCTCGACCACGCCAGTACCCGCAAGTGGGTTCAAGGTTGGGTTGGCCTTGGCCGGCTCCACGCCTCAGTTTGCCAACAATCAGCCGCCAAAAAGAGACGTTTACTTACACCTTATAGGCCCAAAACCCTGAGCCCCAAACTGGCCTGTGGAATCCGGCTCCGAACATAAACCGCTTAACACCAACGCTCAACATTGCTTTTACATTAGTCAAGGCACCCAGGCCTGCCGCCGGGCCTCGCAAGGAAGGCGGCAAGCTTTCCACCTGGATAATTTTTAATCAAAGCATGACAGCCATGGCTTTATGAATTTGGATTCGCTGTAAGGTATGCCATGATTCTCCACAACTGCTGTGTGTGCTTCGTGCTTCGCGGTTCTTCGACTGAAAAATCTCCATGATCCAAGAAGCTTGTTAGACTCAGAAATGCTTGCAGCTTTCTTGAACACTGTTACCTGCTCATGGGGGGGGGCACCTGAAAAATTGGGGCTTGGCTAAGAGATCGTCACATTAGGATTTTCAGGGATCCTTTAAGAAAAGTACTAATGGCCTATAGAGGCCACTGAGGAAATCTGCATGCTGATCAACCATCATGTCAGGAGGTTTACAAATCAGAGGGAAAAACAGCATGCGGCACCCGGCACGAGATGGAATTTGAACACCCCCCGCACCCAAGCCATAATCTTCAATTCCAAGTGCTCATGGTCTGACTCTTGTAAGCAGCTTCTGGCGCACCACGAGTGGTTGTGCCTGTCTTTCCCATCTAATCATCTAATCAAGAAAGATCACTGCAAATGCTATGAAATCAGCACTTAGCAGTCACCACTAATGATATTCGTGTGTGGTACTGTACGATGACGTATTACCACTACCATCACCACAAGTACCACTATGCCACCACCGCCCACCGCCACCACCGGCCCAACCACCGCCTTCACCGCCACCACACCGCCGCCAACACCGCACCCACCGGCGCCACCGCCGCCGCCATTGCTGCCGCCACCACCACCACCACCACCACCACCACCACCACCACCAACGCTGCCGCCGCCTTCAACGCCACCACCACCGCCACCGCAACCGCCACTGCCACCGCCACAGCCACCGTCACAGCCACCGTCACCGCCACTGCCACCGCATGGCCACCACCACCACCACCGCCGCCGCCACCACCCCGCCGCCGCCACCCCGCCGCCACCATCACCATTGCATACCATCGCCTACAAGACCATGCTCCTTCCCAACCACTGCGATGACAGCCCGCCAGCAAAGGGTCCGCGGTCGTCCACAGCGGCGCTGGCGAAGTCTCCACGGGACGTGCATATTCATCCGCGGAAGGAAACATGGTTACCTGGGATGTGGGATTGCTAAAGCGCTGTATGCATGGGCGGTGTGATCTAAAGTCGGGGAAAACCCTCGATGTAAAGTGACATGAAGGCCGTCGGATGTAGATTGCGCAGATGTTCTCAGAACAGGTCCTCAAAACTGGTCGTACTGTATCAAGGCCAACAAGAACTGGGGCAAGGTTCTCACGGTCCGGTCATGGGTTATGCTCTTGACTCCTAGCAATAGAGATCTTCAACGCCATCTGCTCGTGGACCTTACTTTAAAAAATGCTCAAGTAATACGGTTCGTCATATTTCATGCACCACAACACTACCATCTAGCATCTGAATTGTAATGCTGCGTAATGCTTCCCTCAGTCTTGTAGTCATTCTGCGTTTTTTTTGCATTCTGTGCTTCATGGTCTTAGTCAGGCAGCCTTAATCAGCACGAGGCCCACCACGCAGACGCAAACTACGGCCACGCAGAGGGTTCTCGTGTCTGCTTTTAGCCTGGGCTGTGCGGATGGTAGGTAGGCTTCAATGACTTGCAGATTGCAGGGGGACATATTTGGTTTCCAGCCACACCAGCGGTTGGGTGAAGGCAGACCTGTAAATCCGGCAGTCAAAAAGCCGAGCTCTTTCTTTCTTTGCGGGCTCTAGAGGGCACTACTGCCCTCCTGAAATACTCCCCAAGCCCAAATAATCCTCGGACGAATCCGGTCGGAACCCAGGAGGACCCACATAGTGCGCGTGTCTCTCTCTCTCTCTTGATTGTCCTCCTACTCAAGCCATTAGACTTCAAATGCTAAGACCAGGGGCCCAAAGGGCAAGAGGTCGTCTTCCACATCCCGGCCAGGTTGTGGTCGGTTCCGCGGCCACCTTCCTGAACCACTGGAAAACAGAAAAAACGGGCAGCAATGTCGCTCAGAGCTGGACTCAGCTAGGCGACACCAAGACCTCCCAAAAAAGCCCTCATATGAGCATATAATCCCAACATCTTCTCATCCTCACAGTAGGGACCCCTAAACCCTAAAACCTAAGCCACTAAACCTTACTGGCAGGTTGTTCGGACCCCATTACCTCTCAGGAGATCGGTCTCTTCATCGTCATCCTCGTGCTTGCCGAAGGGCTGTGGCTTTGGAGCCATGGCCTCCCTTTTAACTTAGGGATATCGAGCCCCAATTATATGGGGGGACTCATATATTGTGATTATATAGGGGATGAATACGGATGTTCAACCTAACTAGAGGGGGTACTCATGGAAAAGAAATGGAAGCTACTGTATTGTCATTCTAGAGGGTGTATACAGGGAAAGACAATCAAACGCAAAATGGGATGGAAACTACTATGCATAGGGGAACTCCATACTCAAACTGGGCTGGGTGGTCCCTTGGCTGGAATATGCTCCCCCTCCAACATGATTTTTTCCTTCAAGCCTAGCCTGCCCTGCTTGATCCAAAGAATGCCTCCGGACACGGAACAGGAGATCTCTTCAGATCCGCAGACCAGAAGTCTACAAAAATTCAGCTCGCCCCCGCATGGGAAGTCTCCAGAACAGGTGGCGACCACTGTAAGGCGTGGCATAAGACAAGCTTGATCGCACTGCAGTTGGTGCAATGCATTCAGTTATGTGTTAGTGTAGCCTCTAGGGGGCTAAGTTCAGCCTAAGGGGCAACTGGCGCAAAGCAAGTAATTGCTCAAGGAGGGGCTGTCAAATAGGCTGGAAAACTTCTTGAAAGAGAAGACTGGCCCGGGCGCGCGAAACATAAAGCAACTCGAGAATGACTCAAATGCTAAACATGAAAAGCAGACTCCCTTTGAAAATCACCCACCCCAAAACCAACCTCCTGTGAACATTCGAGAACTTATCTGAGGGGTCAACTCCATCAGCGCAGCGCCAAACCCTCATTGTCCTCGCAGCCGTAAAGGTCGCCATGGCAGCCGAGAGACCCGCTCAGCACATTCAGGGTCTTCGCTTTGTAGGCTTCGGTGCCAAAAATCAGGATGTGCACAGACGTACAAGGTGTCCAGGCCGCTAGCTTGAGGCAAATGAAGTGATGGCTCTTGGCATCTTGAAAGTACACACTTCAGAATCTACGGTAGATGAGGCTTGAGATCTGCTCTGCAGGTTGCACGTTGGCTCCCTCGGGCGCTGGGAGAAGCGTAGAAGTCTAACATCTGCAGGGTTGAATAGGTTGCAAGGAAATACTCTGTGTCCCCAACCACCCAAAGCCGAAGCGCACATCGTGAAGACCCCCAAGTTGAAAAGCAGTACCGTGAATTATGTGAGCACCAAATGCTGGAAATAAACTCTATCCTCTAGTCACAGACCTTCATCGATCAACCTTTATACATCAACCTTAATCCCTTTTCATCCGATTGGGCTCGCAGACTGCAGAGCAATTCTGGGCTTCCCAGCTTCCCAGGGGGCAGCTGCGTCACGTGCAGCACCACAACGCCCCACATCTCCTGCGTAGCTTCGGCATGCTGACACACCTGAACTCTGAACGGCTTTAGAATCTAAGCAGGATGTAGGCTCACATCTTGAATCCCAGAAGTGGGTATGAGATCTCAGGATGAAAAAAAATCCTTTTGGGCCCTGAACCTTGCACGACATGATGACCTCCCAAAGTCCAAGGTCCCAGATTGGCTACTACTGGGTCCTTGAGCACATCCTCCCTCCAGTGGCCGAGAGGTATCAGGGCACAGCAAACCTCAGCGGTCATGTTCTGAGCAATCAGTACGCAAGAAGTTGAGAAGCAACGCAGCAAACTTCCAGGAACTTAAGCGAACCAACCACCAGGCCCCCCACCACCAGGAACACACACAGGGGATCATCGGCAAGATCCTCGAGGCGCTACACGCGAGAGGTGGCTGATTAGCTTTTATGACGTCCCTGTAACTTACAATGTTCCCTGTAATTGCCGTTTGGTGATACTACTCTATGAGATCAAGCTTCTGCAAGTCACCTCTTTAGATTTGGTACCGCCTCGAAATTATTTCTTACAAATATCGAGGAGACAATGAGTCTTGTCCAAAACCCGACACCAAACACCAAACCCTGCACCCTGAAGCCAAAACGCAGGATCTTTTCCCCAAATCATGAACCCCTCGAAGCCTGCATACTGTATCTCGAGACCCTCGTCAGAAGATTCAGGTGTCCGTCAAGGCACCTCCAAAGCAGACTCTGCCGCTCCTGCCATTGCTGCCATCATCTTTCTGACGACTTCTCGACCCCAAGTTCTCAAAAACAAAACTGCTTGTGGCAGTGTTCGCATTCGTGTCAGTGTAAGTTATTGCAATAGCTGCCGTCGTGAGCGCAGTGGTAACAGTGCCGTTGGTATGAACAAAACAGTTTTAGGAGGGACTGCGTACTGAAGCGATTTTGGATTGTGACCTGGGGAGTCCTTTGGTAGCTTCCTGCCGTACAGCATGCTTGATGAACGCTGCCCTGGTCGAGTTGGGGATAGACCACAAGTCGCTAGGCAAGGAAATCCAGCTGCCCCTGGCTACCCTTGCCGGTCAGGCGCGAAGAAAGGGCTCTCCTCCAATCGTGTCCAGGCCGAATCAACGCTAAATCTGGCAACCAGGAATCCGAGTGCAAAGCTGTGAGCCTTGTTCAAAATAATCGACCCTTCAAGCCATGGCACACATGAAACTGCTCCACAATTATCTGACAAAGCAGGAACATCCAAGGCTCAAATGAAGCTTCAGCAAATCCACACGCCAAAAGAAAACCAAACCCGTTCAGACTCACATTACAACACACCTGAAGCAGATCGCTGCCTGCAATGCCAGCCAAGTGCATGGCACAGGCTACAGTACGGCTATAATCCCTTCTTGTCTTGCAGTGGCAGTAAGGGGCCTAGGGCGTCAGGGCTCAGAATAGGCCACTTCATACGTCAGCCTCCTTCCGGCCTGTCTTACGGTGATGTAGGAGGAGTAAATTGTGGTTTCGAAGATCATGTTTCTTCAGTATGCACTTGCTATTTGGAGAAGGCTCACAAGATCTTCCTGAAGCTCTCATGCAGAGAGGCCAGGAATAGTCTCAGCTAGAACGTGATCTGATCTTACGTCTTGTACAACTCCGTGCGTTTCAGGCTCCTAAACCGTGTTGGACAGCCAACCCAACAGTCTGAAACATGAGCTATCAGGATGAAGGGGTCTGTGATGGAGAACGTTTGGGTTGAGAGTTTTGGATTTCGAGCTTGGTATAAAGTTTGTAAACTCTCATGACATGAAGACGTTGAGCAACCGCTGGAGCCGCGACAGCTGCTCATTAGCCATAGCATTGCACAGCTGCTCTTACATACGCGCGCAAGTCCTATCAATGATTAAGACCTCCAAGTTTGGGAGCGTGACTTGGAGATATACATGCGTGGCTCAGGCTCAGTCAACCACCAGCTTTCACTCAGGCGCTCGGGCTGCCTGATCTCTTCTGAGGGACGGGGCAAGGCATATTCAGAAAGCTCCTTTTCCTGAAGATGCTTCAGGTACTGAAGAAGTACTGCTGGACCACGCCCACTTCCAGACCTGCATGTTGGGCAACGAGTCAACTCCCCAGACAGTTTGTTGAATGCCTAAACTGTGATTCACAAGCGAAAGACCTGACAACCCTCAACTAGATTTTACTGAGCATGCTCGACCCACGGGATGACCAAAGTATACTTTACTCCTGTGATCTTTGTGGGTGATCTCTTCCCAGAGGATCCCTTTTCTGCAAAATTTCATCGGACCCGAGGTTGGCAAGCTGGTCAGCCCTGCCTCTGCAATCTTCAGCGCACACGAAAAAAGGTCTCGACCTGAATCCAGCTGGCTGTCAAGACTGAAAACCGAAAACGATCACCAAAGATCGGAAAGAAGTCCTGGAGGACTTGCCATTGCAACCATGGCACCACAAATACAAAAACACAAACTCGCTCCACAGAACGAGTCCCAGTCCCTCTACCTGCCAAAAAAAAACACGCCGGCTCTGGGACCCCTGGCCCAATCTTCTCGTCTCGCAGCCAAACTTCCACTGACCACTCCCCACTCTTCGGCACCGCTGCCAGTGCCCTCAGGCAGAACAACGCTTCAGCAACACAACCGCCTGAGCCGCCTAAGCTACAACATGACGTTGAGAGCATCATGACCCGGAGTCAGAAACTGTTCCAATCAAGGCAACGACCGCGATCGTTCAACTGCCAAATGCAATCTTACGTAGTCTTACTTCTAGAGCTATCTTCACTTAGGATTCCAGATGATTCCAGAACTCAGGCTGCAGTAAAACGTTTGGGAAAGTTAGAACCCGCGTAGCCTTGATCTTGCAAGGTTTGCTAGGCAAACTTCTCTAGCACCTCAACTTCTAGGAAGCCTTGCTTCGGGCTCCATATGTCGTATTTGCTGCAAACGACTCCAAAGCAGCAGAGCCTGACGTGAACCCAAAGAGGAACTAGACATTGGGTGAGATAAGCCCTGTGAACTCAAACGGATCACGGGCAAGCGAACAAACCGCTTATCATTGCCGGTCCTCATGTTTAAAGTTTAAACTTTGAACCTACCGGTATCAGCCAACAAGAAGTACAATGGGAGGATGTTAGTTGAAAGGCTGATGCCTGCTCATAGTTCTGATGGACCGTATTATTCTTCAGAACCCTCTTCCATCCTTCAATCCCATATCCCTATCAAGCGGTCTCATCACCTTGATCTCGAATCGCCCCATCACCCTGAGCTTAAAACCCCCACTCCCACCCTTGAACTTTCCAATATTCCCCAAAACCCTAAGCCCTGTATAACTTGCACCCTACACCCTCGTCTAAATAACCCCCTCTAAGTCTGTGCCAAACCCAGCTTCAGGTAAAGGAGAGAGCCAGGGGCTCCAGCTCCGGAATGGCAGCCCAGGAGAGAAGCTGAGGCCTACAATTTGTTTGGGGGTTTAGGGTTGAGGGGTTGAGCGCTTAGGGCTAAAGGCTCCGAGTTTAGAAGTTTAGAATTTTGGGTTGCAGGAGTTTGGGGACTTTAGGGGTTGAGGGCTTCAAGACGCGCAGCGCGCGTTTGCGGGTGTAGGGGTTTAGAGCTTCGGGCTCGAGATTCAGGGCTTAAGGCTTTAGGTTCAAGGTTCTGTTCGTGCCGCTTTCTGCCTCCACATCATTCACAGCTGCATGCACT